TTGGAAAAACTGATAACTGCTGTGAAAATCAATGTGGGTCGAAGAATAAAGAGCGAGAGCGAAAGGTGGCACGATGAAATCTCTAAAAGATGATAATTGGTGAGTGCTGCACACGTGTTTGATGAGTGAACCGAAAAATGTCGAAAAAAACATAAGAAACCAAGAGTGTCACTCTGGACTCATGTCAATGATATCGGTGAAAAATGCTGTCAGTGTTGGGGTCGAGACGACAATATCGTTGTCAGTTTGCAGGAGATGCGGTCGACTGCGTAAACCGATGATTCGCGTGAATGAGTGTCGTCAAACCACCAATTGAACTGGACAGGCTTTAGATCGTCGAGTAGTTGCACAGCCGATTGATGTACCGAAATCATCTGTTAGATAACAGACACGCGGAAACAATACTTCATAATATGAAAAAATACGACGTCAAAGTTGAATAACTACAATAGTTCGGAGGTGTTGTAATGTCACATCGAAGTAACATCATTTCGTATACTGACAATTGTACTGAACGTTCGTTTGGGCATTGTTTATGTAGCAATTGGATGTTCAGTATCAAACATGTACGAAGACTATCGTGGGGTTTGTGGAGAATTTCAGAAGACGTTTAGATATTTTCCAAACCCGTATTGCATGTGAATAAGCCGAAGACGGAATTAAAGTGACTTTAGTGCAATAAGGAAATCGAGTCATGATTTACTGTATGAGATAACAGCAAACAAAAAAAGCGCATAGTAAACATTAATTTAAATGGTAACCACCAATGTAACTAAAGTTTAGGTTTAGATAACGTGATCGTTTCGTAAAAAAGCATATTATCTAGCTCTAAGTGACATCAAGTACGACGAAGTGTCTCATTAAGACATGGACTAAGATTGCTCGTGTACATGAAATACGTTTTTTCGGAGTATGTTGACTTACAAGTCATAAATGTAAGTAGTTTCGACTAACATTTGACGGCAGTGACAGAATGTATGACTACTCTAAGTGAAAGTAGCCGCAAAATGTTAGACATTATAAACATTATACGAAATTAACTAACTCAATTATGAAACTCGCCTGGATTACTCTTGCTCCAAAGTAATTGAAATTTGTGGATTAACTTCGTAGATTAACGAAACGTTGTAGACTGAATTGGAATAAGTCTAATTTAGGTTGAACACGTAGAATTGCCTGACGAAGTTTAAACAAGATCTAACATTGCAGGAAATTTATAGTTCAAACTCACCGTAAATTTCTAGCATTTGTATCCTCTGATTCGCCATGGAACTCAGCAATTGGAAATTAGGCAGGCAGTGGTCAAGAAAGTAATATATTCTAGTAGATAGTTTTTGATAGTAGTTAGTTGACAGTGAATAAGCAGAAAGATGAATTTAATAATCGGCAGTTTATTCTGTATTGGTTATACAAGTGGATAAGTTGCAAACAGATATGCGTACGTGTTGCCTTGAGGCCATACTTACGAGTGGTTGATATTTTAACAGACATATTACACAGGAGCATTTACATGCTGCTAATGCTTGTTAAAGAACCACGATAGTCGATTACAGTCGTAGTTGATTGGTTAGTTCTATCGATTGAACTAATTATTTCAGTTGAAATACTAATCAACATTGATATGAAGCAACGAATGTTCACAGAAACTGATAAAGATAGCCGAAGTTAAAAATGAAAAATAATAAGTACAAAATGTAAAAAAAAGAACATAATGATAGGTTGCGTTATTCGAAGTCTTGTTCACCAGTGTAGAACATCAACGTTGGAGTTCTATGTCGAAATGATTGGAGGGGCCTACTAGAGTTAGACGAGAATGGGGACGAACCAATTAACGCTGAAGTCACACCTCGCGACCAGACCTTACGTGGATTGAACCATCGACGCATCAAAGGATAATAGATGCTATGGAGACTGTACAACACAAAGGACGTTATGACAAGAATATATTAGTTAAGGTACAACTACGGAAGTACAGAAGTGAAAGAATAACCACTGCCGCGTGGGCCAGTCCATGGCGTATGATTGGTTTGTGTGCGTTGACTACCCTTGACCTTGACAGGGATCAGTGATCTGTTCGATATTCAGTGACCCTACAATACTCCCCCACCAGATTCAACGGCCGTTTGAATCGATGCCAAACATGTTGGGAGTAGTCGCGCGCCGGAGGTTGCCAGACGATTAATATGAATCCTCCGGGTATAGCCGAGCTGTAAAAGAAATGGAAAGGAGGCTGCAGAAACTGATCGGGAAACAACGAGTAATAACACGTAACAAGGACGTTGGTTGAATGTTAAGCGATCAACCATAGAAATAATAGAAAAAGAAACATTTTGGAGTTTTATCAAGTCGCGTTGAAAAATATAGCTCTGACAAGTGGTTGAGTTCCTCAGGTGAGAAAAAGTAAGTTTGTCGCAAGAGTAGTGATGTCACAGTGATAGTACGATAAGTGTATTATCAATCGGTGCCGATGTTTGTACTGCCCTTGATACAAAGTAGAAAGTCAGTAAGTGTCGCTGACAACCGTTCGTAAGCGTCGATTTCTAGTTATATATATATTCAACAGACTAACTGTAAGTACAGAATTATAACCGTGAAGATAAGTCGTAGTTTCCTTGTGTAAAGCTTCTGATCAACTTGCAGTCAGTTTGGAAAAACTGATAACTGCTGTGAAAATCAATGTGGGTCGAAGAATAAAGAGCGAGAGCGAAAGGTGGCACGATGAAATCTCTAAAAGATGATAATTGGTGAGTGCTGCACACGTGTTTGATGAGTGAACCGAAAAATGTCGAAAAAAACATAAGAAACCAAGAGTGTCACTCTGGACTCATGTCAATGATATCGGTGAAAAATGCTGTCAGTGTTGGGGTCGAGACGACAATATCGTTGTCAGTTTGCAGGAGATGCGGTCGACTGCGTAAACCGATGATTCGCGTGAATGAGTGTCGTCAAACCACCAATTGAACTGGACAGGCTTTAGATCGTCGAGTAGTTGCACAGCCGATTGATGTACCGAAATCATCTGTTAGATAACAGACACGCGGAAACAATACTTCATAATATGAAAAAATACGACGTCAAAGTTGAATAACTACAATAGTTCGGAGGTGTTGTAATGTCACATCGAAGTAACATCATTTCGTATACTGACAATTGTACTGAACGTTCGTTTGGGCATTGTTTATGTAGCAATTGGATGTTCAGTATCAAACATGTACGAAGACTATCGTGGGGTTTGTGGAGAATTTCAGAAGACGTTTAGATATTTTCCAAACCCGTATTGCATGTGAATAAGCCGAAGACGGAATTAAAGTGACTTTAGTGCAATAAGGAAATCGAGTCATGATTTACTGTATGAGATAACAGCAAACAAAAAAAGCGCATAGTAAACATTAATTTAAATGGTAACCACCAATGTAACTAAAGTTTAGGTTTAGATAACGTGATCGTTTCGTAAAAAAGCATATTATCTAGCTCTAAGTGACATCAAGTACGACGAAGTGTCTCATTAAGACATGGACTAAGATTGCTCGTGTACATGAAATACGTTTTTTCGGAGTATGTTGACTTACAAGTCATAAATGTAAGTAGTTTCGACTAACATTTGACGGCAGTGACAGAATGTATGACTACTCTAAGTGAAAGTAGCCGCAAAATGTTAGACATTATAAACATTATACGAAATTAACTAACTCAATTATGAAACTCGCCTGGATTACTCTTGCTCCAAAGTAATTGAAATTTGTGGATTAACTTCGTAGATTAACGAAACGTTGTAGACTGAATTGGAATAAGTCTAATTTAGGTTGAACACGTAGAATTGCCTGACGAAGTTTAAACAAGATCTAACATTGCAGGAAATTTATAGTTCAAACTCACCGTAAATTTCTAGCATTTGTATCCTCTGATTCGCCATGGAACTCAGCAATTGGAAATTAGGCAGGCAGTGGTCAAGAAAGTAATATATTCTAGTAGATAGTTTTTGATAGTAGTTAGTTGACAGTGAATAAGCAGAAAGATGAATTTAATAATCGGCAGTTTATTCTGTATTGGTTATACAAGTGGATAAGTTGCAAACAGATATGCGTACGTGTTGCCTTGAGGCCATACTTACGAGTGGTTGATATTTTAACAGACATATTACACAGGAGCATTTACATGCTGCTAATGCTTGTTAAAGAACCACGATAGTCGATTACAGTCGTAGTTGATTGGTTAGTTCTATCGATTGAACTAATTATTTCAGTTGAAATACTAATCAACATTGATATGAAGCAACGAATGTTCACAGAAACTGATAAAGATAGCCGAAGTTAAAAATGAAAAATAATAAGTACAAAATGTAAAAAAAAGAACATAATGATAGGTTGCGTTATTCGAAGTCTTGTTCACCAGTGTAGAACATCAACGTTGGAGTTCTATGTCGAAATGATTGGAGGGGCCTACTAGAGTTAGACGAGAATGGGGACGAACCAATTAACGCTGAAGTCACACCTCGCGACCAGACCTTACGTGGATTGAACCATCGACGCATCAAAGGATAATAGATGCTATGGAGACTGTACAACACAAAGGACGTTATGACAAGAATATATTAGTTAAGGTACAACTACGGAAGTACAGAAGTGAAAGAATAACCACTGCCGCGTGGGCCAGTCCATGGCGTATGATTGGTTTGTGTGCGTTGACTACCCTTGACCTTGACAGGGATCAGTGATCTGTTCGATATTCAGTGACCCTACAAGACCTTCAATGACAACTCGAGGATCAACGATCACATCCTGTTCGTCAACCATTTCGCCCTACAATCGCACGTTCGCCGATCAGTCCCACGAACGAAACCGCTACGTGACGAGAGTGCAACCCTTTGCTAGCGAGAAGCTTCTGTATTGACCTACCTTTATGAAGAGAACACGATTGGTGTAGCGAAAATAATGGTCATTATGAGTAGTTGTACTAATTATGGATTCGTTGTACCTGTTTGTTTAAGTGTACCAAAAATTACTTTTTTGTCACTTTGTGACCTTGCGCGAATTCGTGTACGCTCAGTCGCTAGGCATAGTCAAAACTTTGGCACGATCTCGGTATTATTTAGATACCACAAGATCACCAACAACTACATTATACTACAACCTTCTTTTTCATTCAGATATTTGGCTCACGGAAGTATCTAACTTTGTAACTGGCACATAGTTTCCTGTAGTTGTGATCATAGTCCACCGAAATTCGACGCCAACTACATACCAATCGTTTTACGGTGGTCTGAACTACAAGTGCCCAGTAACCTCAGTCAGTGGAACATACTACTGCAGCTTTGATCTGATGTTCGGACGGTCTTTTTTCTTTTTCTCCATATTAATATTATGCTGGTCTTGCTTATTCATCAATTTGCTGTCTTTAAGCTATTCAGTTGCCTTTGAAGTTAGGTCCTTTGTTCACAATGATAAGGTCATCGATGGTGGTGCTCACAATGTTTTCTGGTTCGTACATGTAAGATAAGCTTACTACTTATATGGAGTTTTAAGATTACAGATTTGCATTTTAGCGAGTTCGGCTCTAAAGACAGACAGATGAACTTCTTTGAGTTTTGTTCCACATACATTCCTGTAATCCGACCTGAAATTGTAATCGCGTCAGGTATGTTGTCTCACTACATTTTATTTGCATAAGGTGATATTACTGATGGCAAGGGTAAGACGTTCTCGTCGTCTTCTCAAAATCCGGAAGAATGGAGGGATTATTTGTCACTTCTGGAACAGTCTGGAGTACTTAATTTAACTAGGTGGTTTGATGTACGGGGAAATCATGGTTAGATTTAATCATCACTTTGATATTCTTTAGATAGTTTTGGCGTTCCATCGTTTGGTGGTGATGGTGATTATTACAGGTAAATCACAGACTCATACAATTCATAAAGTTTTCAATATCATTACTAATTGGTCGTTTAATAATTTGTCCATCTTTTGTCGAGTTGTAACAAGAAGCTGTACTGAGTGATTTCATTTGATTCACTGGTCTGTGGTGTTGCGCTTTATTTAGACAATTTCGGATGACGTAGTAATTTATATCTCGCTTCTATTGACTTTGGAATCACTGTAATCCGTCTTAGAGTTATGCGAGCCTCTCTGTAGTACCCGTGATTCCGACGTCCCACAATAGTAGTATTTCTCGATATTAAGGCGGCATTTGACTCCGTTGATCGTGAGGTTCTGTGGCAGTGTTTGTCACTGAAAGGAGTACCAAAAAAGTACATTAACCTTATAATGGCTCTCTGCTCGAACACAACTGGTCGAGTTAGAGCGGTCGCCATAGGAATCAGTTTTTGACTAAAATAGTGTCTAATATATTAGCTTCAATAATACTTCGACACCTAATCAAAGCTCGTGAAGAGCAGACTAGAGAATACCAGACTGGACGTAGTTGTATAGATCAGATATTCACTCTTCATCAGGCCGAGTTAGAGCCTATGGCGAACTGTCATCAGCATTAGTTACCTCAAGTAGTTACCTCAACTGCTCTCACCGACGCGTTGTAAATCTGACCTTTTACAGCCAGACTAACATCACGAAGGCGCCAAAGATGGCCCAGATTGGCATAAGCCGCTCTGGCTTTCCTTATGCGTGCATCAATCTCATCACTCACGCCACCACCAGCACTTATATAGCTACCTAGATACACGAACAAATAAATGAAATGATGAATTCTGTTGACCTGTTATCTAGTTTATCCTGTCTGAACTCTTATGCTGTAGCAGTTTTAAAATACTTTGTTATCTTATTATAGTACTTCCTTTTTTTTGACGCATCTTGTGTAAAATAAAAAACGGCAAATTTATCGACATGGTTTAACATAATAAGAAAATGTCTTTTGTTTTTTCGTTGTTATTTCAGTCGATTTGGTGTAAGGGGCCGATTTTCATTTAGGTCAAACATATTCAAACTTGTAAAACCATATGGTCAGTATTCCTTCATAAGTATTGATTTATCTACTGAACCTGGATTGAAATGGCCTCTTAATTTTTTCGGTAGTTTTAACTTGGTAAGCTGTGTCAGTTGCTAGACATTATTACTATTTATGATATTTGGTAACTTGTATTGTAGCATGAAATAGACCGACTAGCTCACCAGAATTCGTTTTTCATGAAGCCTTGCCATTATCATTTCAAATTTGGTCCAACTATGAACTACGTTTGTTCGCAACAGTTCTAAGTGTTTGTCCACGCTCTTGTTTTCCGTAGTAGTCATAAAGAAAACTTGATGTGACTTAGGTGAGGTAGGCGGTGGTTGACATACGTAATACGTCCCAATCATCTCAGTTGATTAAGATATACTACCTCATCGATTGATTTCCCTTCCTTACCTGGTACTCTTTCCAACCCAAGGATTGCTTACTCCGTGATCCCAAAATACATAAACAATGCCTCGTAGACACCCATGGTCGAGTATCAGTAACCTGCTAATATCCTCTACTTCTAATGATCATGCTGAGACCACGGTCAATAGGTTGAAAATTGCTCATCAATACACTAACTACTGAGTTTTGCATTTGTGAATCATACCGGTCCATTTTGAAGAACTTCATGATTAGTTGAAGGTGTTCGAGTGCATGATTTCAACGGTTGAATTGACAAATCAATCTGAGCTAGACCGCCATTGAAAACCTGGAAGCACTGAACGGCCGTTTCTTTTTAGTATGAGACTAAACAGTGAGCATCCACGATCCCCCACATGGGACTCGAAGCCAGGACCTTCGATCTCGCTCACGAACTCTTAACCTCTAGACCACTCACTAGTGACTGGCTTCAAGATTGATTTCCTGACGTTCTAGCGAGAAGCCGTGACCATTAGTTTGATTGATTATTTGGATTTTCGGACTGTAAAGGCTGTATAAAGCCTAACATCTGGGCTAAGTATGATATTTAGAATCTTTATATATCACATTTCGTGGTACTTTTGTAGATTATGAACAGTGATTTTCAGTCGTGAAGTTTAGCATATAATTTCTCTGTTGTTTGCTGGTTCTTTCTGTTGAGTAACACTAATTGCCAGTTGTAGCGTTTCCAAGAAGGAAAAACGTTTTCGTGGTATCGTTTCAAACATCAGTACCTTAGCTCCTTAGTTTTCACGTGTTCTCTCTCTGGAGATATGTGACGCATAATTCGCACTGTATAACATTCAAAGGGAAGATTTGGTACTAATGTTAATAGTCAGTTGTTTTTTTATAAGTAACTCAGTTTACCGTGTCTAGTACGTAATACGCTAGACATATATATCGTGCTTATATGAGGTACGGCGACTGATACTTTGGATTCCGCGTTGTATATAACTGGTCCACTAGTTTTAGCAAACATATATTTGTAATATTTTTGGTTTATTGTAAACTGCTCATATTTTCTTTTATTATGTTCTATCGATATTTAACCTAATATTACAGAATGTTAAAACACAGTTTTCAAAGTCGATTGATAAGGCTAAAGATAGTAATCAGACGTTTGTATTTGGACATTATCCAACTTCCACGGTTGTTTCAAGTGATTCTAATCTGGGTTCAATGATTGGGTAGGTTTTATATCATTCGACTTTAAGTTGTTAGTATTTAACTGTATCAAAAATAATTGGTATTTATACTTTTCTAATTGCATTCGGTTAAATAATTCACCGATAGATACATAGTTTTCTTACTTTCGCATAGGTTTTCTTGGCAAAAAACACATCCCTTCGCATTTCTTTTCCAAGTAGGTAGAGTTCAAAAGTTATTCATGAGCTAACCCGTAAGTTAATACGATTACTTTTTGTTGCACCGGAATGGTTATTGTTACTGGATCCATTTCGAGTAAAGTTGCACAACACATCTAGTTGCAAACATAGTCATCTATTTTGTTGTTTATCAGTCCTTTTGTATTTTAAGCACTTAGGTACAGGACTATCATCCTCCTGACAGCTCAGTAATTCACTGTGCACTTTAAAAGTATTTAGGCGTAGAAGTGTTTGGTTCGTTGGAAAGCGTGAAACTTAAAGAACTTGTTGGAGAAAAGTATACTGTAAAGTGTTTCTTGCTAAGAATTCAGTTAGTCTTAATTAGCTCTTTAACTAGTTTGATTCCTTTTCAATTGTTCACACAGTGATCCTAACTCTGTAACTATCTCTTACAAGGCTAGCTTGTTATCTACTAATCTGCTGATTCGAAATGGCTACTAACTTGTATGGTGCTTATTCTGTATGATTTCGTGTTGTCCTGTTGTTGATATTCAGAACTAAATTTTGATCAGTTTGATTAACACTATTATTGTTTGCACTGAGTTTTTCTGCTCACTCTCAGGATCTGTAATTAGTGACTAAAATAAATTGTAGCTTTCCAGGGTTTACATGTTGAACTCTTTCTGTAATAAACATAAATATTGAAGTACTGTGAATAATGTACTTCAAAATCATTTCTATTTATACTTTCATTAGAAACAAATACAAACAGTCTAATCTTCAATATTCTGAATTATAACTGTATACAGACTAATGATCTCTTAAATGTTTTTCTCTCGTTTCGCGTTTTCTATGTTCGAAATATCCAACGCATGTTCATTAGGATAGATATACATTTAGTAAATAAGGCAACTATACTTATTTTATTATAATTAAATTTCAGGTTGATAGCTAATTTTTCTTATCTATCAGTTGTCAACAACTGTGTTGGATATGGGCAGTAAGAAATACTCGTCAGTCAGTCAGTCAGCAATAACGTAGGACCAGGCACATTTATGCATCGGTCCAAGTTGCCATACCTCGTTAGCACAACAAGATGAAGACCGGATTCATAGAAGTAATTAATTTAGTGGTGGTAGTATATAAAGAAAGGTTGTATATAAGGATATAGTATAGGAAGGAAAAAAGTTATGAAGCAATTTTAATCTCAAGGTTTAAGGTAAGATAAAGAGTGTATACACCTACGCCATTGTGATCGATTCTGAGCCATGTCACCCAGAGTCTCCAACCATTGGTTACGATAGTCACGCGGACCGCAACCAGGTAGTCTGCATCTACCAACATGGCTAAGACTAGAAGTTAGTGACTTCAAGCACTGATGCCATGTTTTGGTTTGGCCACCCCTAACTCTCTTCATACCATCCCCTGCACTAGTCAGCATTGCGCGTCGTGATAATCGGTGTTCAGGCATACGTAACACGTGGCCCGTACTATGCTCTAATTAAATCCAATTTGTATATCTGAATTTTGATTTAGAATACAGTCTCTCGTAAATGCTATGCGTATTTCCTTTATTGCAGGGATAATGCATTTGCTTATTTATGCGGTCATTTACATACGTTGTTTGGATTGGCTAAGAAGATGTATTTTCTGCAGCCTCAAGGTTATTGGGAATGGGAATTAGGTGATTGGCGTGATAATCGTTAGTAAGTTATGTGTTTTACTTCTCATTGTTATGTTTCCCTTCTTTTAATATACATACTCGTGTTCTGTGGTGTTGAACCGTACAACTAAATTATTGTAATGTTGTTAACCACTTAGTTGTTAAAGCTGTTAAGGAACTCAACCAGAAGTGTATAATGAGAAGAATTATGTAAAGCAACAAAACGTATGCATCGATCCTTAGGGTAAGCACTGGTTTCAAAGGTACCATTTTTCGGAATTTCACGAATCTATATTGATTTGTTATGTGGGCTTATGAGACCTAACTAATAGGTAAAATGCTTACCATTAAAAATAGTATGGTCATTATGCAGATCCAATCAGAAAGTGTATTTCCGCGTATGGAAATCAGTTATAAAAATTCACTGCTGAATCACATAGCATTAGCACAAGTTTCCTGTATTTCTACTGTTGTACTGTTTTTGTATTTAGGCACTATGCCTGAAGTATTTCTTGGTGTCTGCTTTAACAGCACTCAGTCTCACAATCAATCAAAGGTTCATCTTTCATTGTACGCAACTGCACTACTTCTAAAAATTGTCATCAGTCCAATGGTGTATGTCACATTACAGCAATATAACATTATTCAGGTAATAAACTTATCCCGTAACTTAGGTGCTTACTGCTAAGTCTAAACATCATATATTCGATATTATTTAAGGTTGCACACTGTTAAGAAGTCTCAAGATAAAATTGAGCTTTAAATCAGTCTTACCTGATTTGTAATGCTATTTCTATTGATTCCAGTTCAGAGTTTGAGCCATATGGTTATCTAAGGTGTTCTAATGTTATTTTGTTATTAGTAGGAATGTAATATTTTCATACCAGTCCATCGAATAGCTATTTGATTTGACGAATCGCATCATGCTACATGTTATTAACTCGTTTGTCGTGTAATGGAGTTTTGAATATTTATTGGGACCTGCTATAAGTAACTCGTATATATATATATATATATATATATATATATATATATATGATTCATGTGTATATTAAATTTTCGTGTCCCCTTTTTTATTGATTTCCAGCTTCCGAATTGTGGCTGTTGACAACGATTTAGTGTCGTTTGTAGATGTGAGGAAATTCTCACTCAATGACTCAAACAAAGAATGGCCTATTATTTTAATCACAAATCCTAAAAACGCCAACTTTTTACTCCCAAGAAAAGAACCATTTCATAGGATCGAGTTTTCTACACACATAAGGTAATTAATACTGATTTTGAAGAGTTTAATTAAATTGGACACATTGTCTGTCGTTAATGCGTATACAACATACTTCTTAGTTACTGCATTCACATTTTGTATATCTTCTGGTAGGACGAGATGCCAATACATTAGAATCCATGCACTCAAGCAAGGGTATAAAAGCTTCACAATACCGCATTTAGCAAGTTTACTATGTGACGAACTTACTTAAACATATTGCTAAGTAAAATTAACATAGATTGTTATCTTGTTTTTTAAAAAACTTTTCATTTCATTTCAAATAATTTACTTTCTCATTTTGTGTATGTATCTATAAAGCTATCGATTGTTTTTTTTGTTTTGTGAAAGAAACTTGGTGAACTACTTTGTGCTGAGAATTCCATGTTGTAATAAATATATATAATATTGAATAAAGTTAATAATAATGAAAATATATTAAAATAAATACAGTGTACATGATAGTAATGTTTAAGGTATCCATTTAATTTTGATGGCATGTATCTTAAGTTTCAGTAAAACACTTAAATCGTTAGTTAACTATTTTAGAAGTTTTCATAGTTGAAAGCGTGAGTCAATTGAAGCTAGACCACCATGGGAAACCTGGAAGCACTGGACGGCCGTTTCGTCCTATTGTGGGACTCCCCAACAGTGCGCATCCACGATCCCGCATTCGTGAGATTCGAACCCAGAACCCACCAGTCTCGCGCCAGAGCACTTAACGGATAGACCACTGAGCAGGCATCCAACGGTGTTATTTTAGAAATGTTACTGTGTTATACTTCTAGTGTATGTGTTACTGTATTTGTAACAATGTCTTAACATGTTTAATATATATTCCTTACCATTCACTCATTGTGGCCCCCAAATGCCCTGGTACGATCGAGAGTGAGGAGAGTCCACTCTCCCTCTCGAAATGCTCTCACATGGCCACGCGTATATAGCCCCTGCCAGGGAAATCCTACTCATTGCCTTCTCGCACAAGGGTGTTGTTTACGAAATTGAGAGGACGAAAGGCGAATGTTCGACGCCTTAACCGGGTGGGTGGACACGGAGGATCCACCTAGGGGAGTTGGAAAACACCTGATTCCAAACCATTGGTGCACATGGGCTCCAGTATCCGAAAGGAACGAATAGCGTATGAACCTAGTGTTGGTCACCGGCTACCATGGGACCGCATCTCCTCACGATGCTCCACTGCCTTGTGTATCAAAACTTCAGGTCAAAGGCTCAGGGTGTGGTCCCCTAAGAAAACCGCCTGCTTCAATCTGGTCACCTGGGTAGTATCACAGCCTTCACACAAATCAAATGAATTTAACCTTTTCTGTCCAGCTTGGGTCTAATAATAATAATAATTTTATTTCATAATTTTGATGTTTGATTATATTTCCTTGAAAAATCCGGGACCAGATTGCCAGGCAAAACGTTGGATTTACTTCAAATTCATTCGCTGAAATTTTACCAATACATCCTTCCTCTTTAATGTCTTACATGGTTCAAATTGTTTATTCTGGTTAGTTTTTTTAGCACGGTTGTTGTTTAAGGAATGGGGTTACCGGCCCCATGCCCAACCCTCCTTCTTTACCCGGGCTTGAGACCAGCAGTAACTCTAGAATTAATACAGGCGGAGTTAACTAATGAATAGGTGGCAAAGGTTAATTTGAAATAACATTTTGAAGACATACTAGGTCTTCAGTCTAATCTAGACTGAATCTAGATACTTACTTACTTACTTACTTACGCCTGTTACCCCTCGTCGAGGAGCATAGGCCGCTCACCAGTATTCTCCATCCAACTCTGTCCTGAGCCTTCCTTTCCAGTTCTTTCCAGTTGCTATTCATCCTTTTCATATCGGCTTCTATTTCCCGGCGTAGTGTGTTCTTTGGCCTTCCTCTTTTCCGCTTCCCTTCCGGATTCCAAGTTAGGGATTGAGTCGTGATGCACATTGGTGATTTCCTTAATGTATGTCCGATCCACTTCCAACGTCTTTTCCTTATTTCCTCTTCAGCTGGAAGCTGGTTTGTCCTCTCCCATAAAACGCTGTTGCTGATAGTATCCGGCCAATGGATGTTGAGTATTTTGCGTAGACAACTGTTTATAAATACTTGTACCTTCCTAATGATGGTTGTAGTAGTTCTCCACGTTTCAGCTCCATACAGTAGGACTGTCTTGACGTTCGTATTAAAGATTCTGACCTTGAAATTGGTTGAGAGTTGTTTTGAGTTCCATATGTTCTGCAATTGTAGAAATGCTGCCCTTGCTCTGCCAATCCTTGCCTTTACATCTGCATCCGATCCTCCTTGTTTATCAACGATGCTCCCCAGGTACTTGAATGTTTCCACCTCTTTCAGAGTTTCGCCATCAAGTGTGATCGGGTCGGTGTTCTCCGTGTTGCATTTGAGAATCTTGCTTTTTCCTTTGTGAATGTGGAGACCTATCGATGCGGAGGCTGCTGCTACATTTGCTGTCTTCATCTGCATTTGGTCGTGTGTATGAGAGAGGAGGGCTAGGTCATCTGCGAAGTCCAAATCATCTAATTGATTCTGAGAAGTCCATTGTATTCCGTATTTCCCTTCGGATGTCGAATTCGTCATAATCCAGTCAATCACTAGAAGGAAGAGAAATGGGGAGAGTAGACAGCCTTGTCTGACTCCGGTCCTTACTGGAAATGCATCTGTCAGCTGTCCTCCATGCACCACTTTGCACTGTAATCCATCGTATGAGTTTTGGATAATGTTGACGATCTTCTGAGGAACTCCATAGTGTCGAAGAAGTTTCCACAATGTTCTCCTATCCACGCTGTCAAACGCCTTCTCATAGTCGATGAAGTTGACGTATAGTGATGAGTTCCACTCAACTGATTGTTCAACGATGATCCGTAGTGTCGCAATCTGGTCTGTGCACGACCGATCCTTACGGAATCCAGCCTGATGATCCCTAAGTTCGGCGTCTACTGCGTCTTTCATCCGATTCAGCAGCACTCTGTTGAAAACTTTTCCTGGTACTGATAACAAACTGATGCCTCTGTAGTTCTCACATAGGCTCAGATCTCCTTTCTTTGGTATCTTGATGAGATATCCTTCTTTCCAGTCCGTTGGCACTTGTTCCTCTTCCCAAATCTTTTTGAATAGAAGGTGAAGCATGTTTGCAGTTATTTCAATGTCTGACTTCAGTGCTTCTGCTGGTATATTGTCAGGTCCTGCCGCCTTCCCACTTTTGATTTGTCTGATGGCCATCTTGACTTCTTCGATCGTTGGTGGAGTGACATCTATTGGAAGGTCAGTGTGGGCTGCTTCGATGTTCGGTGGATTCGATGGGGCTGGTCTATTCAGCAGTTCCTCAAAGTATTCTGCCCATCTTTTCCTCTGTTCCTGAATCTCAGTGATTGTCTTTCCTTCTTTGTCTTTGACTGGTCTCTCTGGTTTGCTATATCTCCCTGCCAATTTCTTCGTTGTATCATATAGTTGTTTCATATTCCCTTCTCTTGCAGCTTTTTCCGCCGCCGTTGCTAGTTCTCCCATGTATTTCTGCTTGTCGGCTTTAATGCTTTTCTTCACTTCTCTGTTTGCTTCTGCGTAGTCTGCTTGTGCTTTGACTTTCTCTGCTCGTGTTCGGCTGTTGTTAATTGCTAGTTTCTTGTTCTTCCTTTCTTGAAGTTTGTCCAGGGTCCCCATAGAGATCCATTCCTTGTGATGGTGCTTCTTAGGACCAAGAACCTCCTGACACGTTGAAGTTAGTGCTTCTTTTATCCCTTTCCAGTTGTCCTCCAAAGTAGTTTCTTGTTCTTTCAGTAGATCCTGTAGAGCTTGGAACCTGTTGTTGAGAGTTATCTTGAATTCATGGAGTTTGTCAGTATCTCGAAGGAAGGCTGTATTAAACCTTTGTAGTGCTGTTTGTCCAGTTGTCCAGTCTTTCTTTAGCTTCAGTCTCATCTTGGCCACAACCAGGTGGTGATCTGAAGCTATGTCAGCTCCTCTCCGGGTTCTCACATCTTCCATTGATCTTCGGAATTTTTTGTTGATACAGATGTGATCAATCTGGTTCTCTGTGGTGTGGTCCGGTGAGATCCATGTAGCTGTGTGTATGCGTTTGTGTGGGAATATTGTGCCGCCTATAACCAATTTGTTGAAAGCACATAGGTTTGCAAGTCTCTCCCCATTTTCATTTCTCTCTCCTAGTCCATGTCGTCCAATTACATCTTCATATCCTGTGTTGTCCACTCCAACTTTAGCATTTAGATCTCCCATAAGGATGGTGAGGTCCTTTCGTGAGCACTTTGCTATAATTGATTGCAGCCTTTCATAGAACTGATCTTTATCATCGTCGTTGCTATCATTGGTGGGTGCATAACATTGGATAACATTCATTGTGATCCCTTGCTTCTTTGTTCTGAATGATGCTTTGATTATCCTGGGTCCATGAGATTCCCATCCCACAAGTGCATTTCGTGCTTCTCTGGACAGCATTAGAGCAACTCCCTGAGTGTGTGGCGCATTTTCCCCTTCGTGACCGGAGTACAGCAGCATCTCTCCTGTACCTAGCCTTTGTTGTCCAGTTTGTGTCCAATGGGTTTCGCTGATTCCGAGTACTGCCAAGTTGTATCTCCTCATTTCCATTGCTATTTGGCTGGTCTTTCCTGTTTCCCACATTGTCCGGACGTTCCATGTACCTATAAAGAGTGTTGCTCTGGTTGTTAGAAGGTGCATCGGTCTCGTGACTTCCGAAGAATTTCGGCTTTCATCATGAGACGTCATTATTCCTTCAACTCCCAGGGCAGAGTTTAAATGGTTTGGATTATTTTTTCTGGTTAGCGTTTTTTTAGCGAGTTAGCTTTTCTACGGGATGGGGTCGCTAACCCCATGCCCAACCCTCCTCCTTTACCCGGGCTTGGGACCGGCAGTAACTCTAGAAGAGCTACAGGCGGAGTTGAATCTAGATACTAGGTCTAATTAAATCGTAATTGTTTGTGTTATACGTATGGTAACTGTCGCTCGATCGAATTCATGCTTTTTTACATTTATAACTTCTGGACTTGTAATTGAATATTATTTCTCCTTTTCTGAGTAAGCAAACAAATTTCAAAAACTAATTTCGGGGTTGCTCTTTTTTCATAAATGTAGGGAAATGCTGAACAACCAGATTGTTCGATAAAATAATCCGAATGTTGGTTTTATTTATGCTGACTTTTATCGTCAAAGCTGTTATCATTTTTAACCGAATTATTAGAAGTATTTTATTATTCACTTTAAGATGCTAGTTTCATCACAAGAATTGTCATTTTGTTAAACAATAAGTTTTTCAATATTCTTTAAATCGGTAGTCCAATAGTTAGAATACTCACCTTTCAACTAACAGTTCACTAATTCGAACCGTGATTTACGTACTCAGGTTGCATCGCAGTCTTTTACGCAGTGCCTGTGGTCCGTAGTCGCGTGCATGAACCTTTGTTTGGAGAATGAGTTACACTAAACTAAATAATTCTCCTAATCTTGACTGCCTCATCTCGTAAAATACGTTCATTATGGTGATCAATGATTACATAAATATTGAAACGCTGTACAGGATAGTTATTTCTTCAATCAGAATACGTTTGTCTAAAGCCTGTCCAAACGTTCAGTATTCTGTTTAGAAGTACCGTAATTATTTGTTATTGAACAGGTAAATTAAATGTAATCACGTCTTACTGGTAGGTTTGCGGCGTCATCTATTAGTCTATTATTGTTTTTGTCTAGATGCCTTAACTATTCAGTTTAAGAAACAAACAGTTTTATCTCTTTGTTGACCGATATTTTGATCAGAATTTTAGTTTGGTCACTATCGCCTATTCTAAGAGTTTCTGTGTCAATCAATGGCATTCATCAAGGATTCGCTGAACCAGCCAAATCACTTGAGAGTGGTAATTCAACACCTTTATATGTACTTCCATGGAATACATCTCAGTGGTCAGCCAATCCGTATTCATTTCACGTGATTGAAGTCACAGCTAAGGTGAGCGAAAGATTTACCCGTTTTTCATTAAACTTTCATATTTGGTGTGTTTTTTAATGATAGTAATTATTGGTTGTTTTATTTATTTAAGCACATAAATATTGGTGCAAGGAAGCACCAGATAAATATGCGCCTCACAAATCTCATTTGATTTGTGTGAGGGCTGTTATACTGCCCAGGTTCCCAGACTGAAGCAGGCGGTTTTCTTAGGGGACCACACCCTGAGCCTTTGACCTGAAGGTCTGATACACAGGGCAGTGGAGCATCGTGAGGAGATGCAGTCCCATGGTAGCCGGTGACCAACACTAGGTTCATACGCTATTCGTTCCTTCCGGATACTGGAGCCCATGTGCACCATTGGTTTGGAATCAGGTGTTTTCCAACTCCTCTAGGTGGACTTTGATGGACTATACTGCCAAATCGTCCACGGAGGACAACTCACCGACTCGTTTGAAGTAAAGACTGGTGTAAGGCAAGGTTGCTTACTCTCACCCTTTCTCTTTCTCCTGGTAATCAACTGGATCATGAAGACGTCAACGACTGGAGGAAAGCACGGGATACAGTGGACAGGCAGGATGCAACTTGACGATATAGACTTCGAAGATGATCTGGCTCTTCTATCACAAACGCAACAACAAATGCAGGAGAAAACGACCAGCGTAGCAGCAGCCTCAGCAGCAGTAGGTCTCAATATAAACAAAGAGGAAAGCAAGACTCTCCGATACAACGCAATATGCACCAATCAAATTACACTTGACGGAGAAGCTCTGGAGGATGTGGAAACCTTTACATATCTGGGAAGCATCATTGATGAACACGGTGGATCAGATGCAGATGTGAGGGCGAGGATCGGAAAAGCAAGAGCAGCATACTTACGACTGAAAAACATCTGGAGCTCAAAACAATTATCAACCAACACCAAGGTTAGAATTTTCAATACAAATGTCAAAACAGTTCTATTGTATGGGGCGGAGACGTGGAGAACTACGAAAGCCATTATCCAGAAGATACAAGTATTTATTAACAGTTGTCTACGCAAGATACTTCGGATCCGATGGCCAGACACTATCAGCAACAAGTTACTGTGGGAGAGAACAAACTAGATTCCAGCGGAGGAAGAAATCAGGAGGAAGCGCTGGAAGTGGATTGGGCACACTTTGAGGAAATCATCCGATTGCGTCACAAGACAAGCCCTCACATGGAATTCTGAAGGTCAACGGAGAAGAGGAAGACCAAAGAACACATTACGCCGAGAAATAGAGACAGACATGAGAAGAATGAAGAAGAACTGGATAGAATTAGAAAAGAAGGCCCAGGACAGAGTGGGTTGGAGAATGCTGGTCGGCGGCCTATGCTCCATTGGGAGTAACAGGCGAAAGTAAGTAAGTAAGCTAGGTGGACTTTCCATGTCCACCAACCCGGTTAAAGCGCCGGACATTCGCTTTTCGTCCTCTCAATTTCGTAAACAACACCCTTGTGCGAGAAGGCAATGAGTATGACTACCCTGACAGAAGCTATATTTTCGCGTGGCCATGTGAGAGCATTTCGAGAGGGAGAGTGGACTCTCCTCACTCTCAACCGTACCAGGGCATTTGGGGACATTACTGATTGTTAAAAGTGTGAAAAACTTTCGAAGGTGTGGTTATTGGAACGTAAACGTTTGGACAGTAAATAACCACAAAGTAGTCGAAAAAATGATTGTGTAGGAAAATGGGTTCGTGCGTTGTGTGCGCGATCCCTATTATAATACTAGTAAAAGCCTGTACAATCATGCTCTTGGCGAAATTGAGAACCGAAAAATCATGAGAACTCCAAACTTAAGACAGATTCACTCAAATGGTACAGTTAGTGTCATTCTACAGTTGACTAAGCTATAGATGACTTTATGTGATATTATGTCGTATGCACTAATCAATTGTCGAGTTATCAATGAATATTGAAGTGTTTTTGTACTAACTGATAAGATGGTACAGTGTGTTTGCTCAAGCAAGTGACTTGTTACTTTATTTGTTCTACGTAGTACTGAGTGTATGAAAATAATCCGGAATTGGTTTGTATTATGAATTCTCATCAGTTGAACTATCATTAAACGGCTTTGTCCTGGTTTGATCTTGTAGACTTCATCAAATTTTCACCATATTGATGCTTTTACATGTCAAGAAAGTAAGTGAGGTTGTTTACACTGATATATCGTCGCATATTACCACAAGAAGCACCATCACAAAGAATGGATCACTGTTGGTACACTGGATAAGATTGAAGAAAGGAGGAACAAGAAGGCAACAATCAATACCAGCCGAACAATAGCAGAAAAAACCAAGGCACAAGCCGAATACACAGAAGTAAACAAGCAAGTGAAGAAGAGCATCCGAACCTACAAACGTAAATATGTGGAAGATTTAGCAATGACGGCGGAAAGGGCTGAAAGGGAAGGAAACATGAGACAACTGTGTGACACAACAAAGAAACTCGCTGGAAATTACCGTAAACCAGAACGATCAGGGAGAAGCAAGGAAGCCAAGGTATTCACCAACATCGAAGTAGCACTCACGGACCTCCCAGACGATGTAGGCCCACCAACAATTGAATGGATCAGCGTGGCCATCAGACAAATCAAGAGCGGCAAAGCAGCGGGACTAGACAACATTTCATCAGACGTAGCAGCAACTGCAAAGATACTCCACATTCTCTTCAGTAAGATTTGTGATGAATAACAAGTACCAACAGACTGAAAAGAAGGACTTCTGCTCAAAATGCCAAAGAAAGGTGATCTCAGCAAATGTGATAACTACAGGGGCATCACTCTTACCTCAGTACCAGGAAAAGTCTATTGTTAAACAGAATCAGGGACTCCGTAGACGCTCAACTTCAAGATCAACAGGCTGGATTCTGTAAACATCGATCGTGTACTGACCAAATCGCAACTCTGCCCCCAAATGCCCTGGTACGGCCGAGAGTGGGGAGCGTCACCTCTCCCTCTCGAAATGCTCTCATATGGCCAGCCAATATATAGCCTCTGCCAGGAAAGTCCTACTCACTGCTTTCTCGTGGCGGGGGTGTTGTTTACGAAAGTGAGGGGACGATAAGCGAATGTCCGGCGCTTTGACCGGGTTGGTGGACAAGGCGAGTCCACCTAGAGGAGTTGGAAAACACTGATTCCAAACCAATGGTGCACATAGGCTCCAATATCCTGAGGGAACAAATGGCGTACGAATCAACCGTTGATCACCGGCTACCATGGGACTGCATCTCCTCACGATGCTCCACTGCCTTGTGTATCAGACCTTCAGGTCAAAGGCTCAGGGTGTGGTCCCCTAAGAAAACCGCCTGCTTCAATCTGGGCACCTGGGTAGTATCAAAGCCCTCACAAAAATCAAATGAGATTTGTGAGGCGCATATTTATCTGGTGCTTCCTTGTACCAATATTTATGTGTTTAAATGAAAATAAAAATAAATAAAAAAATCGCAACCCTACGGATCATTGTGGAACAATCAATCGAATGGAATTCATCACTCTACATCAACTTCATTGACTACGAGAAAGCATTTGATATTGGGGACAGGACAACACTATAGAGGCTTCTTCGACACTATGGCGTGCCTGAGAAGATAGTCAATATCATACGGAATTCCTATGATGGATTAAACTGCAAGATTGTGCATGGATAACAACTCACTGACTCGTTTGAGGTAAAGACCGGTGTCACGCAAGGCTGCTTACTCTCACCCTTTCTCTTTCTCCTGGTGATCGACTGGGTCATGAAGACGTCAGCATGTGAAGGGAAGCACGGGATACAATGGACAGGTAGAATGCAGCTGGATGATTTAGACTTCGAAGATGATCTAGTTCTTCTGTCACACACGCAACAACAAATGCAAGAGAAGACGACCAGTGTAACTGCAGTTGGTCTTAATATACACAAAGGAAAAAGAAAGATTCTCTTATACAACATAGCATGCACCAATCGAATTACACTTGACGGAGAAGCTCTGGAGGATTTGAAAACCTTTACATATCTGAGCAGCATCATTGATGAACACGGTGGATCGTATGCAGATGTGAAGGCGCGGATCGGCAAAGCAAGAGCAGCATATTTACAACTGAAGAACATTCGGAACTCAAAACAATTGTCAACCAACACCAAGATCAGAATTTTCAATACACATGTGAAGACAGTTCTATTGTATGGGGCGGAGACGTGGAGAACTACGAAATTCATCATCCAGAAGATACAGGTGTTTATTAACAGTTGTCTACGCAAGATACTTCGAATCTGTTGACCAGACACTATCCACAACAACCTACTGTGGGAGAGAACAAACCAGATTCCAGCGGAGGAAGAAATCAGGAGGAAGCGCTGGAAGTGGCTAGGACACACATTGAGGAAAGCAGCCAACTGCGTCACAAGGCAAGCCCTCACATGGAATCCTGAATGCCAAAGGAGAAGAGGAAGAATAAAAAACACATTACGCTCAGGACAGTGTGGGTTAGAGAATGCTGGTCAGCGGCCTATGCTCCATTGTGAGTAACAGGTGTAAGTAAGTAATATTGCTTATATGTCTTATCTGGACGACTAACCCTTCATACTGTGAGTTGTGGAGATCTTATTGAGATGGACAGAGTCGTTGAAGTCGACCAAGTTCAGTTTTTGCAAATAAATGTATTATAGATAGTTGTAAATTGTTTTCCTGGAATTCTAATTTGACCATTAATAATGTGTAGCAATACTGTTTTCTTTGAAATACCACATATATCGTGATTATTCCAAATAGTACAATATTCAGTATACTAGTGATCATTATTTTAGCACCAAGACATTGAAATATTTTTAAACAGACCTTGTTATGTTAACAACGGATATTCTGTTGCGCAATTTGGCTACTTGGCTACTGTAGACTATTCAACTTAGCTTACCTTTTGTCTGAATTTTACTTTTACCTCATATTTATTTTAAGGATGCCAACAATAATCAGCGTACAGTTGTTCAGTCGTTCAGTCTTCGAAATCGTGCTGTTTATCCTATTGGGTTGGTGTCGAAATTTTTGGTTGCCAATAGTTTGTCAGTTCTTGTAAGTTTATGATGAATTCTATTTACCAGTAAAACAAATTGATCCTTGTTATATTCGAGAAGTCTTAGGAACTTTAATATGTGAAATGAAATGTGACTCCCATATATACTGTATACTTCACGAAGCAATAACAGTCAACATTCTGAAGTAGATACAAACCCACTTAGTTTCGCTCAATGAGAAGACACTCGAAGGGTATTGATTTGTAGTTTGGGGAACTGGCGAAATATATTTCTAAAGCGCTCATCAACTTTTCCTCTTTACGAGACTTCTTTTCAGACAGTAGTGACCTTAAATGGTTGAAAGAAACAGCTTCATATCATAATTATTGGTGGCCGTTAAAACTTATTCAAGCCACTAGCAACAATAAGCTTCTTGTCGGTGAGGCGATATTTAAGATTCGTGACAACCTAAATAGTAATTTCGTTGGATACCTTGAATTCTAGATGAGGCATTCTGAAGATGTTTTAACTATTCCTTGACTTAAATAACTTGGACTGTGTTGTACTCCTTGGTTGGTGGCTAATCAGTTCCTTCAATGGCACGAAAAATCGAGAAATTTTCAATAGAATTGTTCAGGGTTTCGGATTGTTGTTCAATATTATCTTGGTTAGTCTTTAATACCATTAATTCTACCTGATATTGTCAAGAATTTTTTCGCATGAATATTGTTAATTCTATCGAAGTGTTCAACTGCTACGTTTGAAGAGATTACGATATCACCTGAAATCGGCGAATGGAACGAAGGATCAGCAACACAACAACAAAACAACCTAAACTATTTACTGCAACTCAGCACTGCCAACTAGAAGGAGAAGACCAGATTCAGTTGAGTAAAATGTGAATTCCACAAGCAGTCGGAGACAGGAACAAACACGCACACAACTCAAGCGTATGTGTGCAGTATAAAAGTGTCCTCGATAAACATCACAAAATAGCGTATTAAGAAAACAAACCAATTACATTTCAGGTCCTTCCAAGTGGGAAATACAAAATTAAAATAAAAGTGGGCGCTTGTGACACGAAAATAAGAAATCCAAATTTTCAAAATAAATTACGAAAATAAGATGTTTAAAAAGTGATTTTTGGGGATCTCGCATCCCCAGCATCAACTATGCAACTGATATACGCTTGAAATCAAGAATCAAAACAACAATTTGTCTAAAGAGCGTTCCTCAACTCAGTCATCTATGGTGATAAACGCGTCTGTAAAGAAAATGGCTCCGATGTGGTAAATGACATCCGATCGCTTTGTCTGAAGTCAATAATGACTATCAAAAATAAAAAAACAGATACTAAGAGTTCACAAGTATGGTAGATTGTGGTGGGATATTTTCGAGATAATCCCTATGCTTCACATAACACGTTACTAGATAATTCCCAACAGCGTATGAATTTCAGGAAACAGCACGAAGCAATGACTTGATTTTATTATTGTACAAATCATAAGGATTTCGCCTCATAGTAAAGTAATAAGGCCGGTCACTGGGTATCTAATACAGCGTATAAGAAATTGAAAAAAAATCTTTAGTTTTCAGTCAGCGGTTCGAACAGATCATTTCTGATTAGTTTGATTGTTCATTCATCACAGTTAATTGAAATGGAACAGAGAATCGTCTACTAACATAAAAGTTGTTATCTTTATCATTTCATAAATGGTATATACTTATCTGTTCATAGTATATCATACTATCTGTAAAGTTACATTTTGCTAAGCTTATTTAGTTTAAATATCTTGCATCATTATGTTATGATTAATGATAGATAATGTTTATGATCACTTGTTCGGTGGATTCACAGATTGCTTTATCTTCACTAGTTTTGCGCGTTTCGACTGATAATCTACATTCCAAAACAGTTGGCTGAAGTCGTTTGCTTTGTGTTGAACTTTTCAATAAGGTAGATGGTTGATTTTTTTGTGGTTTTGTGATGAACTCTTATTACGACTCAGCCACTCTTATTGCTTAGTATTCTTGGGTATTGTTTCATCCAAGTCCCCAAACCAGAGCACGGTGAAACTGGAATGTAATTATATTTCAATTAGACAAGGTCGAATGGAAGTAGGAATCACAATAAGGAAAATGTTAGTGTATTTATAAATTTTACGCAAGAATATTTGACGAGACTATAATTAATGGATGAACCAATCAGGCATAACATAATGGGTCTTGGATTTTGGCGCAAAATGCATTCATCCACTTACCAAATAGCGTTTTGGCATTTAAGCTGATGTCAGTTCGTGACGAAAACGCAAATCTAATTCCTAACCCTAGCCATCAACTGTAAATCATAATTCTTGTTCCTCACACTGGTTTATGACTCTCATTTAGTTCTAGTTAGTAGGCGGACATTCTCGAGGTCGCTCAAAGATCGTCCATAATTTACAACCTCATCGAATATTCTAGAGTTTTCTCTAAGTATCCACTAGTGTCAGGAAATGGTCAATCAGTGTGCCTCAACACAATCGTGCACAGAACGTGCCTTAATCCAATCTATATCCCACTAACAGGTTTCATAATGGAAACATTCAAGCGAGTATTTAACAAGTACTTTTTTGAATTTATAAATTTTTCTCTTGTTTTGTGTGACGGAAACAGTTTGAAACAATTTATATCATTTTTACTATTGTGTACAACACAGTGCTAAACTGCTTCTTTTAATACTAAAAACTGAAGAATATGAATTTTAGCCGCCATATCTAAAGGAGTCATACACTCCTCATCGATAACATTTAATGTCTCAGTTGATATTTAAATACTATTCATCCAGTGTGTTAAGATTCGGTGTTTTCAGTTTACTAAGTTCTTGTACTTACTTACTTATTTACTTAAGCCTGTTACCCCTCGTCGAGGAACATAGGCCGCACACCAGTATTCTCCATCTAACCCTGTCCTGGGCAATCCTTTCCAGTTTCTATTCATCCTTTTCGTATCTGCTTCTATTTCCCGGCGTAATGTGTTCTTTGGCCTTCCTCTTTTTCGCTTCCCTTCCGAATTCCAAGTTAGGGATTGAGTCGTGATGCACATTGGTGATTTCCTTAATGTATGTCCGACCCACTTCCAACAATTTTCCCTAATTTCTTCAGCTGGAAGCTGGTTTGTCCTCTCCCATAAAACGCTGTTGCTGATAGTATCCGGCCAATGGATGTTGAGTATTTTGCGTAGACAACTGTTTATAAATACTTGTACCTTCCTAATGATGGTCGTAGTAGTTCTCCACGTTTCAGCTCCGTGCAGTAGGACTGTCTCGACGTTCGTATTGAAGATTCTGATTTTGAAATTAGTTGACAGTTGTTTTGAGTTCCATATGTCCTTCAATTGTAGAAATGCTGCCCTTGTTTTGCCAATCCTCGCCTTTACATCTGCATCCGACCCCCCTTGTTTATCAACGATGCTTCCCAGGTACGTGAATGTTTCCACCTCTTCCAGAGTTTCGCCTTCAAGTGTGATTGGGTTGGTGTTCTCCATGTTGTATTTGGGGTCTTGCTTTTTCCTTTGTGAATGTGGAGACCTATCGATGCGGAGGCTGCTGCTACATCTGCTGTCTTCATCTGCATTTGTTCGTGTGTATGGGATAGGAGGGCTAGGTCATCTGCGAAGTCCAAATCATCTAATTGATCCTGAGAAGTCCATTGTATTCCGTATTTCCTTTCAGATGTCGAAGTCTTCATAATCCAGTCAATCACCAGAAGGAAGAGGAATGGGGAGGGTAGACAGCCTTGTCTGACTCCGGTCCCAAGTTCTTATACACCACATAGCTAACATTTCGTAGGTTTGAATCTCATTGTTCAAGTGGCTTGATATAAAATGAACTTTATTTTGTCTTTTGTTCTATTCATTATTATTTGTTTATTAACACTTGAAATAAATAAACCACAGTTTTTATTGTTTTTTGTAGACAACAATTAAACACTTTAGTGTTCATTAAAGTTTTCCAGTTTATTACAAAAGTCTCTTTATGTAAACTTTGTCTATTTAGATTATTTTCAAATCTCTACTTATTTTCGGAACTTTTATGTTGTGTGATTTTGACAAAGCATACAAAATTTACCTACTAATAAATATTCGTATATTAAGTAGTCAGTCAGTCAGTCACAACGTAGAACTTGGTATGTACGAACATCAGTTCGAGTTGTCATGCCACATTAGCACAGAGAAACAATTGTCGATTCAAATCCCTTAGTGGTAGAAATAATAAGAGTATAAGCAATAGTCCGAAAGATTAGGGTTTGAAAATGTTATTGAAAGAGTATAATCCAGTGAAATAAATTTGGAAAGGAAAAAGGATAGGGACATCAAGAATTCAGAAGATCAGAATTCGGCAGAATATGAAAAGTGGATGCACCTTTGCCATTGCAGACGATTTTGAGCCATGTCATTCAAGGTCTCTAACCGTCGGTTGCTATCATTTCGCGAATCCCAACCAGGTAGTCTACACCTACCAACATGACTCAGTTCAATTGTTAGTGACTTCATAGATTTGTGCCACGTTTTAGTCTGGCCGCCCCTAGCTTTCTTCCAACCTACTCTCAAGCCATAAAACATTGCACGACGCAGGAGTCGGTGGTTGAGCAAAACGTTATTTCAGGATTGAGTTGCATCGGCACCTGAACTAATGATGGGGGAAGGGTGAAGTAGTTGAGCGTATTGACCGCTTCACTTATCTTGAGTCTCATCAGCCCTTGTGGCCTGGTGTGTGACAAAATCTCAGCAGGGATACAGAAGGCTCGATTAGCTTTTACCATTTGCGTTATTTATGGCGTAGGCGAGATATCCGTCTAGCAACGAAAGGACGGGTTTACTGTGCTGCAGTTCATTCCGTCCTACTTTATGGCAGTGGAACATGGCTGGTAAGAGTAGAGGATATTCGTAGGGTATTGGTACTTGATCATATGTGTCTTCGAAGTATTTCTCGTATATTCTGGGACCACCGAGTAAGTAATGCAGTCGTTAGGAAATGGGTATTAGGTAAGGATGGCAAATAAATTGATGAAGTAGTGAAATTTCATCAGTTGAGATGGCTGGGACACGTGTTACGTATGCTCAACTACCGACTCCTGCGTCGTGCAATGTTTTGTGGCTTGAGAGTAGGTTGGAAGAAAGCTAGGGGCGGCCAGACTAAAACGTGGCACAAATCTATGAAGTCACTAACAATTGAACTGAGTCATGTTGGTAGGTGTAGACTACCTGGTTGGGATTCGCGAAATGATAGCAACCGACGGTTAGAGACCTTGAATGACATGGCTCAAAATCGTCTGCAATGGCAAAGGTGCATCCACTTTTCATATTCTGCCGAATTCTGATCTTCTGAATTCTTGATGTCCCTATCCTTTTTCCTTTCCAAATTTATTTCACTGGATTATACTCTTTCAATAACATTTTCAAACCCTAATCTTTCGGACTATTGCTTATACTCTTATTATTTCTACCACTAAGGGATTTGAATCGACAATTGTTTCTCTGTGCTAATGTGGTATGACAACTCGAACTGATGTTCGTACGTACGAAATTCTATGTTATGACTTACTCATAGAGATCTTGCCAAGCACTGATTCAACCGACCTCCTGATCTGGTTTCAACTGCAATCTTAAGTCCAATAATGATAATGTTTGGTAGTTCAGATAAGTTAACTTGTGCGTTTTTGTACTTCGTAAACAGTAAGTGATCGACTGCTTTTAGTATGTCTAATACTTCAGACTAACCAAGCCATCAGTTCATGAGGATACCAATGATGACTCTAAATCGTGTGTAAAGATGTAGATTTCCAAGCTTGTAGCTCTCGGAAGAGTTTCAATATATGGTCGAATACCTCAGGCGAGATAACTTAGGGTTCAGTCCCACTACTGAAGTTTGTTCTGATCTTTTATCTTTCCACCTGTATCATTCCACGTCTCACATTCTTTGATCGCATTTGTTCGTTTGGAACTGTTCCTTGTGTATAGTTTTCCATTGTAGCTGTGATTGTTTCATCTTGTCGATTTCCCCTCTCGTTTTATTGTGGTAACTGAAATATGTTTTTACCTATACTAGGTCGTAAGTTCCCTTTATCTGATTCACTTGTTACGTATTCGTTGAATTGTCCAGATTTTACAGTACAAACAAAAAAACGAGCATATCTTTAAAGAAGTGCAGAGTGAATATAAAGTATACTTTCTATTATTTTTTTTTAGCTTTCTGCACTTTATTATACTTTATGGATAACAATATTCACGTTTGTGGTATCACCGATTTTAATTCGTCGTCCAAACTTACGTAAGTTTGTATTTGTAGTTAATGAGTACATGGTAATGAAACACCACAAACACTCTTCAAACTTGTGAAAATGCATGCTCAAGTCTACTTCTTGTATCGCTTATTGAAATAATCAATTTTTAGACATTAATGTAAAAACTTAAACACCACTCCACGTGTTTTGACTTAAACAGTTGTATGATATCCCCAATTTTCAGATACAATCGTTTGATTTAAACCAGGTTATATTTGTTGGGTTACTAATCTCAATTAACCTAATAATATAAATGATTATGTTTTTTATTTTACGATTCCATATAAATTTCTTCATCACTCAACACTTCACCCGTAGCTCCTTCGGGGGCTACTGCCGGTCCCAAGTCCGGGTAAAGGAGGAGGGTTGGGCATGGGGTTAGCGACTCGATCCCGTAGAAAATCATCTCGCTAAAAAAACGCTAACCAGAAAAAATAAATTTCTTATTTTATCTGTTTTAATTAATTGATAAATCGCCAAAGAGTTTAGAGTGTTTTTGATCTCTTGAGAACACCATATTTTTGTCATCGATTTCAGTTAAAAAACCCATTTCTTTTTATGTGTTCTATTGACTGTCGATCAATATTGAAACATTAGACTTCGTACTGACGGAGTAATGAATTGTCTCCGAAAATCAAATTTTTATAGGTGTCAGTTTGTATCTCCCTTACCTTTTGATTAACCGAAAATTATTTCTAATCGTCCAATGGAGAGCATGCTTTCAGATAAATAAAAACTCTTGGTTTCAATGGTGCAGCGGTTCAAAATTCTCATTATCGCTGTCGTGTTTCACATATCCATATCGAACAGCGAGGCGCAGAAAATATTTTGGCAGGTGTTTGTCGGCGTTGTATTTCCAAGTGATGAATAGTTAGTTCGACAATTAACAGATTATGGTAATCAAACTTCCTGTCATTTCGTTATTTGGGTTAGTGATTGTTATGAGAACGATTTTTACTATAAACATGTATGCAGGACGCGTAGGCATCGTCAGCGACCGACGACATCATCAGCACGAAATTATGTTTATTCAAATATCCTGTTTGTAATAAATTAGGCGCGCTACTGGTTGTCGATGTTTGTCCCTCACCCATGTTCCTGTGATAGATGGATTTTTCACCGTAATTAAATCATGAATAACTCATAAGCATGGTATACTACGCGTTGTTCATGAGCGCAGCCCGTATTCCCTTCATGTGACGGTGGATCAAATAGAGTGAATTCGCCCTTAACTGCTGTCGGGAGCCGCAGCCATTGTAATAATCGATTTCGTTGGTAAAACGAAAATCCAATCATTGAACAGATCGTCTTAAGTATGCGCTTCCATATGTTTGAGCAGACACAACTTCTAGGTTTGTTTAATTGTTTTCACATTGTCTAATTAATAGGTAGTTTCGAAACATTCATAGCATACACTGTCCAGCTGGGAAGCGAAACAGCGACACAGATACGACTTGGATTACAAGGAGAACGTAAAACGGCTCTCTATATAGCCACTGTACTCAATGATTTACCAGTCTTCCACTGCTGTTATTGCTGTGGAGATCCAAAATATTCTTGGAGTAAATCCAGAGGGGCCCTGAAAACACTGGAAAACATTTTGTGCAGTCAGCGTTGTATAGAAGTTTTTGAGGAACATCAGGAAAGTGAATGAGTCGTGTCTTATTTGTGACTGGATGATTACCTATCACTCTGCAATATTTAAGTTCTATAACGTATCAAAGTATTTTGACTAGGCAGTAAAATTTTTACTCTACACTGTTAGGTCAGCCCATATGGGAAAAATCAACGATGTTTACTTTGTGACGAACACTGGTCAACTACAAAATAACCCAGACTTAGGGTTTCTCTTATTCACTTATTCTAAGTGATACCGTAGTCCTAATGTAAAATAATGGTATCTACGTCTGTAAACTGGGTTCATGTGACTAAGATTGTCACCTGTTTTCATTATTCACCTGACATTGATTGTAACATAATGGTAACTGGGTGGCAGAACCTGTGTTACGAAAATTAATACTCTGGACTAAAATATTATAGATTTTAGATAGATTTCATGGTGTTTTCCTATTGCAAATCAATGTCACACCATTGCAATCTAAAATTCAATCGTTGATTAGTTTGTGCTTGAAAACAGGTGAAAAGATCCATTTACTGTGGTCTTATTTTGCTGATGGCTACCTAATATACCTATTAATGATTTCATCTCAACGTGTACAAGATTTTTCGTGCGCTGTACTTCGATTATTTCCGATATTTTTGTGACTTCTTAATATGCTCATAACACTTAGACAAATAATATTGAGATTTTACGATTAAAAAATAGATTTCTTGAAAACCATAATGTTATCATTTACAGTGTTGTCGAGAGTAATTTTCAGCATAGACTGATATCAGTTGGAATCATGAACAACAGCAAACAGTCATTTTGCTTCAGTATGAGGTTTTTCTTTATTTTACGCCTATAAATGTTTATGGGATTGAACCCGTGGTCGTCACAACTAGGCTAATAGCTTTGGACCGACATCTGTTTATGACGAAATGCACTAACATTATATTTAGAAAGTAATCATATAGAACTCATTAAAATTAATGGTTCCTGTATTTTGATAAGTAATTTGCAATATTGGTGTAAGGTAATTTAATCAGATTGATGTAGAATCCACTGTCTATTTAAAAGTGTTGCAACTTTTTGTATTATTTCGAAAATTTGAACTAACTATGTATAAATAGAATGATAAATAACATTGTGATGTATCTTAGTATTTTCTTTGAGTTTGTGAAGGAAGCCATATTTCGATAATATAATAAGAAGACGAATATTATCAGAACTATATGATGATATATTAGCGCAATACATTTCGAACAATCTGATCACACATATACTTGTTAAGAATATTTATATATAAAAATGAGAGGTCAACTAGACTGGAAATGGGAGGTAAGAGTAGATAAGGACAATAATAATAATAAAAATAATGAGAAAACAATTTAAAGCCTAGTCACTCTGGATAATAAGCTAATAGTACCAAGGTAGGTTTAAAGAGAGAACAAACTGTTTTTGAATATACAAAGGGGGTTTGAATTTGCGTATAGATAAGGCTTCAATAAACCTTAGTATACGCTCTTTTATAGAACACCACAAAAGCCGAGTTAAGATCAAACTTATATTTATAAAATCCGACTTCCATTTACTTATTTCATGCTCAATGACAAAATGACGTTTGAGGAATTTCTAATAGCATAATTTTAATAATTATATATAAATTGAACTATTTGTTTTATTTTGTTATTTAGTTGTACATCTGTTTCGTACAAGAATTGGTAGGGGTATGTACCTGATGTCGTCAACCAAAAAACTATTATTACCTATCTTAGTGTTTATGGTGTATCAGATTTCATGTAAGTTTACGAATGGAGTTGATTTCTGCTTCATTATTTTAATCTCTTTTCTTCAAAAACAATAAAATTAGAAGACCCTTGCAGGTTGATGTACAATTGTTCTGTCAATAGAAAATACTTTGCGTTTGAAGCGAAGGTACTGGGTTCGAGTCCCAGAGTGAACATCAACTCTGGGATGCAGGTACATCCAGCTGACGAGTCATAAATAGGACGAAACGCGCGTCCTGGATTCCAATGCTAACCACTATCCATCTTTACTTACCATGCTTGTGAATTAGGCTATATCGAGGCAATACGCACAGTATGCACATATGCCAATTAGAGACTGACCAGTTGCAGTCTTAACACATCAATGAGAAGATTCAAACAAGCAATACTAAATGAATTTATAAGTATAATTTGTTTAAGGTCCCACGCCATGACCTTGTTTGTTCATAGGAATTCAATAAGAGATGATGTTTAACTGATTGTTGTTTCATGTTAACTATGGTTATTATCGAATTATTCAGTTTGGCTTTCTTTGCTGCAAGTTATTAATGCACAATTTCCACGTGTTGCGAAATGTTGCTCTTCGTGTTGATTAGCGCCTGTCTATCCAGTAATAGAACTTCATCAGTGTTTTTGAGGAAACTAGCCCCTTTTATATATGAAATTAATTTTCGGAAACGGTAGATTTTCTATCATCAAAATGACTTTCATGTTCCGTGTGAAAGAAAGTATGGTTTTCTTTGTATGTTGTTGAAACGTTCCGCTAACCATAGAAGTTAACTTCTTTACTTGTTGTATATTGCTCTCCGCATTTGAAAATTAAATACCATAATGGTTGTAATGGTTACAAGCCAGTGCCACTTGAGCTGTTAGGTTTTGATTATTTATCCCTTTGATTGTTAGCCACCTACAACTTAGTGTTGTACTCTGTTATTTTCATCATATGTACGTACCTTCTTAGTGTTTATAAAGTTAACTAAATTCTACACTTTGAAATATATTACTTATATTAAATTTCTTTTTCTCTGTATATTAAGGTCCACTGTTCATGGGTTATCTAGTAGCTGATAAATTTGGCTTTGTTTTCTCATTTGGTATTTATATTGACGGTATTTACATACCAGAAAGGCTGACTTATTTGCTTGCAGAGGCTCAGGTAAATAATATCTATATAAATTGCTCATATTTGCCATGTGTATTGTTTTCCCTCAACCCCATATCGCATAGACCATACGATTGATATTCAATATAATTTGAGGCGAACACAATTGTTTTATAGTATAAGCGAAGTGAAATGTGCTAAATTCAGAAGAAATCTGACTAAGTAAATATCATGTCATTCTTGTCAATTTGGTTCTGTAAGAAACATGGTGTATTTGTGTAACTGCTCATTAATTAAAATGAGCACCGACTTCATCTGACAGTATCATTAGCTGGCATGCAAAAGGTATGATTTACAGCCGACTATATACCTATTGAATTACATTAATTTTCTTATTGGAAATGTTTAAATTCAATGGTTACTCAAGACATAGTTCTTTTCACTTTTAAAGATAAAACCACATAACTACTCATCGTCCTGTATTACATATTTTTTATTAATTTCGTTTTAAATCCCAATTCACAGCTATTATGGTTTGGGTTATATCTGTTGTTCTTTACTTATCATTGTGGTCATCGACAGTATGATTCAATTTATCCATTGAATAATGGTGAGCCATCGGAGAAATATTCAAACAGTGTTTATAAAGATGATATTCACTCTAATACGTTGCAGATCCGTCTATCAAAACTTTGTTCTTCACCTTCTTTGCTTATTATAACAGTTATTTACGTATCAATTCAATTGGCTTTTAATTTTATTTTTGTTTGGCTATCCTATGGTTTTGTAGTGGTGCTTTTAAGTCCAGGACCTGTAATCCCTATATGCGTTGTATGTATTTTATATATCTATTGTCCACGACCTAATCATGTAAAATATTGTATTCAGTAAATGTTCATTTCTTTCTTTTTCATTTTATACTATTTAAACGTTTGCTTATTCAGTGATGATATATCATATTTTTTTCTTGTAGTTAAATGATATTTAACAGAACACATGTTTTCCCAAAACTGTGATAAACATACATTTGCATTATTTATTGTATTATCATTTGATTGGATCCACTATGTGTAGTTCATTCAAAGCAGAAAATTACTTACATGAAAACAAAACCGATAAGTAATCAGCAATAATTATGACTTTAAACAATGTGCTACTCAAACTATTAGATTTAAAGAAATAAAATTACTTAACACTGAGTAAGTTCGAGTCCCAGAGTGAACATCAACTCTGAGATGCAAGCACATCCAGCTGACGAGTCCCAAATTGGACGAAACGCGCGTCCTGGATCCCACTGCTAGCCACTATCCATCTTTACTTACCATGCTTGTGAATTAGGCTATATCGAGGCAATACGCACAGTATGCACATATGCCAATAAGAGACTGACCAGCTTCAGTCCTAACACATCGATGGGAAGATTCAAACAAGCAATACTAAATGAACTGAGTAAGTTAATTGCATAGCTCATTATGTGGTCATAGAATTGAAACTATGATCTCAAAACTGTTGATTTTATTCTTTACTGTAAAACATTGTGTATTAGTGCAGATCCGTGATGAGGAACTATCTGAAATTTATTTATTTATTGCTCGGCTTGTGTTTTTAGCGTTTTAACGGGATTACTTAGTATACTAAGTCGGTATCGTTTAGTAAGTTATTTTACCAACTAGACATGCGAGTTTATCAGAAGAATTGTTCGAACATCTACAACGTATTACAAACAATCGGTCTCTGTCTAATTATGTTATTTCTTCAGTATACTCCAAGTCACATAGTTCAACGTGTGATCATGTCTCTTATCATAGTCATTAGGTAGAAACCTAGAGAATGGTGTTATATTTTATGCGGTTTGTTATATACTAATATAGTGATATGGTAAGTTATTGTTTTATATGGATTCTCTATCCGTATTATGCTATTGTTTGTGAATGTCGTTTCATCAAATTACCGCAAAGTTATCAATATACTGAGCGAAATGCACAAAAACAGTTTGAAAGATCGATAGTCTGATAAACGTCTCATACTATCTGCTTACAATACAGAAGTAGTTGCAGTTTGGTGTCAAACAAAAAGAATGTACACATTTACGTGTGTTTACTGGTTGTAGTTACCAACACGACTGAGCCTACTATATACCAACAGTTTGAAAGCCAAAAGGATGTAAATGTCTAATTCTGATAATAAATATGAAGGGTGACAAAAACGTAATATAAATAAGATTATAGTGAGAATTTGTTACCTACAATAATTCGAATTGATTTGTATCTTCACAACAAAAATCAAAAAAAGTGATTTACTTGGAAAACTCAACGAGGAAGTTTGCTTTTATTCACAAAGCTCAAAACAACTAACTATGACTAAGACTTATTTTGATCACTTTTACTGTTTTGGTACTGTTTCGATGCCACCGTAAATTTGTTAGCTGGTAGTTCAAAAACACCAACCGTGGTCGAGACCGGGGAGTTGTGCCGTTTGTTGTATCCAACTGTAATTTTTGTTGGCTTGAGGATCCGTTATCAAAAGGTGTGACCAGAAATGCGACTTTCAATAGATCCTTCAATATCCTTCATTTATTCGGATTGAAGTTAACTACGCCCGAATAGGACTTTGAATATTGTCATAATTACATTTTTTATCCGTGTTAAATGACTGACTACCAAAGATTTTGTAAAACGTTTACAAGCTGCTGTAATTGATGTCTGATTTGACCGGGAGTACCTACTTTGAGATATACTTAAGGGTGGCTTTGCATAGAGATACACACACACCATACGGAATCATGATCCCCCTATTAGCATCTTTAGACTTAAAAGAAATTGGAAACCCACAAGGACTGGTGTCCCAACGTTGTACCATCAAAATAAATGGCTGGTGTGGTAACGTCTTTGCCCGGGGAAAGTATCAGGTTGGAAAATGTTGCGGTGGTTCTTTAGCATCCCACAGACCCGAAGTTAAGAAACTGGTCATGGCCATATAAACATATGCATCTGTAAGCAGGTTGGCTTATCGGAATTGTCCTAGGTATGTTTAAGGGGATGAAAACAAGCTGAGTGGTCACGTGTCTACTGAGCCTCCTGAACCGTTTGAGGACAGCTGTGGCGATAATTTTTTGTAGGTCTTCAACGTTGATGCTAACCTCGTCAGTTTTGCTTAGCACAATCTGGCTGAAATCTCCTTGTTGGTTGATAGTGACGATTCAAACGTAGTGATTTGAGAACAAGGTGAGATTGTTACCGCTCCAAGTAATTCTGTATGGCTGTCTCGGAAGACGGGAAATCGACAACTATGCTTGAACAAATATGAGGAGGAAAAAACGCAACAAATTGCACCCCTATCTTTGAAAATCCTTTGGTAGACTCCCATTCAACGTCACAGAAAACATCAAGTTTTCAAAGTAGGATTGAACTTAATCTTTGATTGACTAAATAATGCTTGATCTCATCAAGTATCATTTTATGTAGTTTTCCACAATCAAGTGACTACGTCTACAATATTGAGCCATGTCATGCCGGTCGATGGTTCACACGTTCATTATTGTTGACCTTCCCTGTGAGTTGCATATTGAGTGTAAACCTTATCAGTAATCATATTATCAGCTTCAAATATCGTCAGGTTATGGGCAAATATCACTACACAGCTCTCCAACCAAAATCATCGTGACGTTGGTTCTGTTCCGAATGAAGTGGGATTGTAGCGCTCCTGAGATTATCAAAAAAATGATAAAAACCCTCCGGGTATCGACAAATTGAAGGCAAAATCAAAAACGCGGTAGCAGCAGGTGATCGATGAAAAGGAGTAGTAGTTTAAAAAAAATGAAAATTCGTGTGGAGATTATTTAGTGGTGAAACAAGGTAAACTTATCGTGATGAAGAACGATTTAGTGTGGACTTATTATAACAATTCACACGAAGATACATAGTACTAAACGTCGGCTAATAGCTTAACCTCTGGATAGTATAAACATTTTGTGCACAGAAATACAAAACAATGATAAAAATGTTATTATTGGTATTATCATTGGTTTAAATATAAAAGTCGGTGACTGATTATGCATTAGCGGGCTAATTGATGAAACAGAATTCTAACCATGGAGAAGGAGACTTCCGGGTAGTGATGCAAAATCCAATTTGAAGGTTTTGTCTGTCAAAATCTCTCCATGTATATATTTGCAACTTGTTCTTATTGATTGTTTTCAGTTGTTCGTTTTGTTAGCCATTTCGGTTCCATTTGAGATGATAATACTTGTATTTCATTATAGTTTCTTATTGTCTTCACGCATCCACTGCGTTTCCATGTCTTCCTGAACTGCATTTATGTTGTTTAAGTTGATAATTAGTCCTGGTGTCAGCCATATTGATTTGTTCCCCCTTTTATTATGTTGCATGCATTAACTGTAATTGTGAATTAAAGCACTTTTCATAGAATCGGAAACACTCTGTGCTATAAAGCAACCAAACATTATCTTTCGAACGAATCTGATTTATCCAGAAAGGATAGAATAACATTTATTTGTTGCTATTGATCGATTATTGAGCGTGTATTTGGCGTCGAGTCGCGATTGACTATGATTACCACAACAGGAAGATCATGTGCCAGATATTCTTTCGGATGCGAATATAATAAGATATATTTATTGGCGATCTCGTGGTATTGAAATAATGCCGAAATCGTGCCAAAGTTTGCAAGCGAGACTAGTGAGCGTACACGAGTTCGTGCAAGATCACGAAAAAACAGAAAAGCTTTCTTTCGTATACTTACTCAAACGGGTGCAGTAAAACAATCAGTGGTACAATTGGTTATGATACTAATTGTTTCCGTTACACCAATCGTTTTCACGTCATAAAAGTAAGTCACTGCAAGTGAAAAATTATTGATTGAATAACTGAGTGGTAATATTTGTTTAGAACTGTTATTCACTCCATCACATTTAACTACCTAGACCGTTATTCTTCAATCAAAACCATAGTTTGGGTCCTGCTTTGTTGTAGTTGATGTTTCAATCATACTATGCTTTGTTTACGGAGAGATTCTCTCAACCTTGTTATTGCTCGACCGTGATAGAATGCTAATAATTATGTGAACCTTGGTTAGACACTTGTCGGTAGTTCGTTGTACGTCTGTACATGCGAAATGACATGCTTTGGACCAAATGTAGCGATGAAAACGGCGATATTCAGTTTGAACACGATACTAACAAACAGAATTTCATTATATGGTTGAAATCATTAGTCAGTTGAAGCTAGACCACTATGAAAAACCTGGAAGCACTGGACTTTAATTTCATCCTATTGTGGGACTCCTCGGCAGTACGCATCCACTATCCCACCTGGCGAGATTCGAACCCAGGACATATCATTCTCGCGCCCGAACGCTTAACCTCTGGACTACTGAGCCGGCAATCATTGTTGTTGATGTCTAACTTGAACCAATCCACGAATTAGGGCAACCGTTCAACTGACCGATGATTCCACAAAACCCCATTTGATAATAAACATGCTCACTAGTGACTGGCACCAAGAGTTCTAGTGCGAAGCCATGACCAGTGGAGTTCAACCGAGTCTGTTTTGAGGTAGTAACTCACTGAGAATAATGGTGGACGGTGGCTCAATTTCGTGGATTGGTTGAAGTTGGACGTTAACGCTATTTCTTATCCGTTAAGTTGTCCAGAGTTAAGGCGTTCGTGTGCGAGAACGGTATGTCCTGGATTCGAATATCGTCGGGTGGGTCCGTGGAAGCACACTGCCAAGGAGTCCCACAATAGGACAAAATGGCCGTCCAGGGCTTTCAGGTTTTCCATAGTGAACTAGCTTCAACTGACTCATGGCTTCACCTGTCAAATTACTAAAATCTTCACACAACTACCTGATAAAATTTTATTTGATTGAACCAGACTACGTTTTTGTGTATAACGTACGAAGCATTTTTGAATGATTTATCAGATTATATCTAAACACAATCTCTGTGCTCAGTTTATTATATTCTAATTTTAGAAAGAGAACAAATTGTATTAAACGTACAAAATGCATCAAACGGTACTGCCTGAGATATGGTATCAAGGGTTCTCCAAATGCAAACAAACCTGCTAAACAACAAAAGAAATAGTTAATAAACAAGAGTTTGATACCAGAGAAGCAATAAAAGTACTTCGAACAAGATAGGATAGGATTTGTAGAGGTAAAGACTCTGTCAACTTGCCCATGATGACAGGCAGAGGCTAAGAGTCATACACCAAGCCACACCGTTATCTTGAGTTTAGTCAAACATGATCTCATTGACAATAGTCCGGTAACATGCAACATTAAGAAAATATTAAGAGATACTTCTTTAAACTAGCACCAAATAACATGAACTTCGATAGGGAAGGCTAAAGGACAT